GACGAATTGGGTCAGCTCGGCTTTAAGCGGCCCCAGTAACTTGCTCCCGATCCAGAGTTGCTTCTGGCAAGTCTCCTTGTCGACGAAGACGATTTCCACTTCGTCCATTTGCTCGGCCCTCTTTGTCCCTCGTTTCTCCTCATACTGGGTTCGGGGGTCGAGCTCGTCTTCTTCGCTGGCCGGCTCCTTACCGGCCCTTCTTCCCCTGTCCAGGTCCAGGTCGGCCCCGAATCCTCCCACTGCCTGGCCGGTACCGCCGTCAGTCGAGGGGAGCGGGCCTATCGGATTTTCCAGCATGCGGCCGTCCCCCTGATTGGGGTTATCTAGCCCGGCATCAGGGGTCGGGCTGTCCACCTCTGTCTCGAGTCCCATGTTGACGGGGTCAGCACTTGACGAGGTCAATGGGTGCGAACCTGTCTGATTTCCCAGCATGCGGTTGCCCCTAGGACCATGGCGTGCCGACCCGGCGTCTGTCGCCTCGGCGTCGGCAAGGGGGTCTGCCGCATTTATTTCCATGCGCGGGATGGTCAAGATACACTCCCGCGCTTCCCTCTAATTCCCACGGTGGGTCCCCTCTCCATCTGAGGTCGGGAACTTGAGGGAGTAGTGAAATATGGAGACGGCGGCCTTTAGCTTGTAGAGGGCCGTCCTCCCCAGAATGGAGTTGTATTCACTAGGGCAGTCCACGATTTTGAAAGTTTCCAAGATGGTCTTCGTGGGCCCCCTTTTTTCTCCGAAACGGACCAGTAATGTGACTTGACCGACGGGGGCCATTGTCTGTCCGTTGAAGCCTTGGATCCGTTCGCAACAAGGCTGTACTTCCTTCTTGTCGATCCCCATCTTTTTGAAGGTGTCATAATAGAGGATGCTCGCATAAGCCCCGGTGTCGACCATGATGCGATGGATCTTTATTGCCATGATCAGCGCCGTGATCACCAGGGCGTCGAAGTGAGGGTGGTCGAACAAGAAGGCATCCTCATCTGTAAAGGAGATTTTGTTTGGGGTTGGCTCCGGCGCCGGTCTGCTATCGGCATGCATCACCCTCTGCCGGGCATAGGCCTTGGTTCGCCTCCTGGAGAGGAGGGACTCGCCCCGGCTCGTGTTGACGCGCCGAGTTGGGTAGTCGGTCAGGTCGGCCTCGGTGCGTGGGGATCGGTCTCTCTTCCTGCTCCTTGAGGTGCCGGTCTCATCTTGGCGAGCAGGGCAGAAGGTCATGATTTCATGGGGGCCGCCCTGTTGCGACTTCTTCCTTCGAGGGTTCACGTCGGCGTCATCGTCACTGTCGAGGCCTCCCTCAAAACGTGCCCCTTTCTTTCTCTTCACCCCGGAATGGGTGAATCTCTTCATCTGCGGGTCGTCGATCAGCTTGAGCAGTGCCGAGATCAGATTTTGGCACTAGTCGGTGTTGTGCCCGTGCGCCTTATGGTAGGTGCAGTAGCGGGTCTTGTCCATCTTGTCTTTGTCGATGAACATCGGCTTTGGGTCCGGCAGCAGTCCCTTTGCCTCAATCTCCTCATAGACCGCAGCGGCTCCTACCGAGAAGACGCTCTGATAGCTTTACTTCAGCTCCTCAGCTCTTTGCCTCCGCTGAGCTCGGATCTCGGCGAACGACTTGCTGGGTTTTCCAAGTTTTTCCTCTTTCGCCTTTCCCTTTGCCGGTGCCGGCGTAGGGTCGAACGTCGGGATCGACGAGGACTCCTCCGCCATTATGTAGTCCTGAGCTCGGGAAAGGAACTCCTGGTAAGTAGTTGGCTTGTTCTGGTACAGGGACCACTTAAACAGCGTTTTCGGCCTCAGGCCGCCCTGGGCGGTGATCAGCAGGGCATCAGGGTGGCACCGTTTCATGTTTTGGACCCGGTCGTTGAACTGAGTGATGTAGTCCTTCAGGCTCTCGTTCTCGCCCTGGACAATGTTGGCGATGGATTCTTTGGGGGCGAGGTTGACTTGCGATCCGATAGAGTGTGACCGGAACGCCGACCTGAGCTGCCCCCAAAAGGAAATGGAATGGGGGTAAAGAGAGTGATACCACCTCTGCGCCTTCGGTCCCAGCGTCAAGGAGAACATGCGGCAGCGTAGGGCGTCAGAGGTGCCGTGCAGGTCCATCCACGAGGTGTAGAGACCAATGTGGGAGTCGGGGTCCGAACTCCCATCATAAAGGCCGAGCTGGGGCACTTGTATTTTCTTCGGGACGGCTTCCTGCAAGATGTCGGGGGAAAGAGGTGAAGCGTTGTCCGTGACTCGGGGAGTCGGTCATGTGCAAGATTGTGGACAGGCAGGGAGTGACAACTCACTCCTGGAGGGGTGTCAGCCTTCTAGTTCAGCGATTCGGCGCTTGAGGGCCGCGACTTCGTCGGTGTCACGCCCTATAGCTTTGCCTCGCTTGATGACCTCCCGAAGATCGCGATTGGCTTGGCTCTTATTGCCCAGGCGTTGATAAACAGAGCGGCGGACGATCTGGAGGCTTTGCTCCGGACGACTCTCTCTTGTCTGTTCGGTAGGTGCCGGTCTGGTGCTCTTGTCGCGGCAGTTCCGGGCCTCGAGGTTGGGTGATTGGGCCGTGGTTTTGGACTTCGTCGGGTTCTTTTGACCCCGGCCTCCTTCTCGGGGATATGGAGCAGGGTATTGCCGGGATTCTCTGTGGGCGCCGCGGTGTTTCCCCCGGCTGCCTGGCTGGCGAGCGCCTTTGCGAAAACCCCCTCGAGAGCTTTGAGGACGTCTGGGTGCTGCATGGCCGCAGCGAAGGTGAGAACTGGCGGGACAGAGACTATAGGCCCCTGCTGAGCTCGGCGAGAGGTCTCCCCGCCGTTGCGCCGACGTGACTGGTCGCCGGACTGTTGGGTGGACTCATTGTGATCCGAGGAAACCATTTCGAGTGTGTTGGAGAGAAAAAGTTGGAAAGAAAAGTTGTTCAAAGTGGAGTTTCACAAGATCGAAAAATTGACACCAAGTAACTTATGGTGCCCTCCTTCTAGCGCCAAACTGTTGACGGGCGTTTCCGGTCAACGGTTAAAAAAGATAAATAGTGAAAAAGTAACGGGAAAAGGCAAAGGAATACGGTTTAATTATGATTTGATTAACTGATCACGAGGTCGGCCTCTCGTACGAGGACGGCACTTGCGATATACTTACAAATTCTTACACAAATTCCTTACAAGTTTAGAGAGAGAAAATGTAGAGAGAGTAGAGACAGTTGGGATTCAACAACCCAAAATAAATGCCCAAGACTCCTATTTATAGGGCTCTTAAATGTGATATTGTTCGGGTACTGCTTACGGGTCTTGTTGTACAGTAGTTTGGCAAGACAGGCCGGTGTTTCCCTGACTGATTAGGAGTGATTTAGGGATCTTCCAATCATTACCTGCAACGCATTTAATGCTGGTATGGGCTGCATTTAATGCGGACATGCTCCTCGGCCGGGCTAGACGTCATAGACCTGCAGGCTAGTCTCGAGTGTCCCATCGGCAATCATTGATTGTCAAGTGGCCTTATTTAACTGTTTTCTGGACACTTAACCCTTACGAGGCCGAACTGGTAGGGTGCCGAACTGGTCTATGACAATCTGCTTGTCCTCCGGTCTTCCAGATCCCATATCGGGGCTGGTCGGCACCATAACGTGAGTGCTGAAGTACCGATCTCGGGATATGGCGTTGTCCGTAAAATTGTTGACTTTGACTCATACTCAGCTCGTCTTCCGACCTCCGTGGTCCCTTCTCCACTCGGCACTGGACCAGACCGACCTTGCAATAGGGGAGTCTAGGTGCCAACCTCGGGACTGACTTTGACCGCCGCTCCCGTTGACTTTGATATGGCACTCAGCTCGGCACCTACGAACAAATTCGGTGACCGGCCTCATCAATCCGGTCGGCCACCGCCCAATTCCTGGTCCCTCAGACCATGATCTTCATAGGAGCCAGACTCGGATGTCAACACAGCACAACCTGTCCAGGGTTCAAATCAAGAATTTCAAAATTATATCCGTAGAAGTTCAGAGATACAAGATAACACAGTTCATCATCAACTTCGTGCCGATTTAGTTGAGCATATTTGGACTCATTTTAGCCAGTAAAAAAATTATATTTTGTAATTGTACTATTTTTTCTTGTGTAATCTTAATATAAGTTATTTTTGGTCTTGTAGTGTTCTTTTACTTTCATGCATTTAAAATTTATTATTATAATTTAAAAATATTAATTCATTATTTTTATTGAGAATAGAATATTAAAATTTGTATTGAATGAATGGATGGGTCCCATATTCGTATTTAAATGAATGTGTAGGGATGTGGGTGTGTGTTTAAATGGAGAGAGAAGATGATGTGGATGAGAGAGAGTGTAACTTTTTGATTGAATGAATGAGAGAAAAATTTATGGATGTGGATGCCCTAACTAATGCTAAAACTAAAGCAAAATAACTGAATTTTTAACATATGTGGATATGCACAATGTTATGGTAACGTGCATTGTCGAACGCATTAATGTGCATTTGGTCTAACGCTATTGTTCAGACTCATATTCACTAATGTGCGTGCATTCTGTAGTATGGATTTTTTTTAATGTGTAAATCCAATATACCATCGATCCGAAATAATTAGTTTATTTGAATGGTTAATTAAATTAACCTAAATAATCGAAATATTTATTATCAATATTAATAAAAATTATTTATAATTTCAATATTTATTATTTATTATTTTCTATTATTTTAATATTTTACATTTTCTTTATTTAACATTTTCATTTATTATTTTAATATATACGTATAAAAAATTTATAAAAATAATTTTTTTTATAATTTTTTTAAAATTATAAATTTGACCCATGGACTAAATTGAAATATAATAAAAATTCCTATAATTGTAATTAGGTCCCTATAAATTATTAAATTTCCAAAAAGAAAAGCCCAAATCCAATCCCCTAATTGCCAAAAATCAGATCGTTTCTCCATTGAATTGACAGGGTGTTTGCTTTTTGGGGATCGTCGGACGTCGACGGCGGGCCAGGATGAGATGGATTCCTCGCAGACTGAAGAACGGAGAAGGCTCGACAGAAGATGATGACGGAGGCGATATAGGAAGGTCGGACAGAGTTATGGTTGATTGTACGGTAGATGGCTGATTGCGCTGTAGAGGAAGATCGGACAGAGTGAAGACGACGGTGGCGGACGCCAGCGGTCACATGCGGCGGGACTGTCGTGTGGTAGAGGACCTCGCTGGGCTGTGCAAATTTTTTATTCCCGGTCAATCCTCGGCCCTCCGACGGCTGCTGTCGTGCGGTAAATGAAGGTCGGACATAATGATGATCGTGGCAGCGGAGGTTGGCGACGGCGGAGGCCGGCGATGGCGGGGCGGCGTGACCTTCTTGTGGTAGAAACAGATTCATGCCTGGTACTGTTCCCCGTGTGTGTGTATGTGAGAGAGAGAGAGAGAGAGAGAGAGAGACAAGTGGGCTGAGTTGGACGGTTGTTGGGGATGTGGGACTAATTGGTTGGTGGGTCTGGTGGGTCCACTGATAGATGTAGGAAAAATGTCCGAAATACCCTTAATGAAGGTATATGTTTGACTTTTTTTTAGACATTAGATCATCCGATCTAATGGCTACAATTTATTCTCATTTCTTTCACTAAGTACCATTCTCATGTGAACTCAACCCTATATATATATATATATATATATATATATATATATATATGNGTGTATATTTGTAAGGTGTGTTTGTATATTAAGAGCATGCTTGGATATAAAAAGTTTTGTTTTAATTGAATTTTTGGTTTGAGTTGGTTAAATTTGAAAAAGTTGGTAGGGTTTGTTAGTGTGTATATTAAAATAATATTTAAAATAAATTAATTAAAATTAAATTGATGTAAAAGTAAGAGAGAGATGATGTGATGTGATGGTTAGTTAAAATTATGTGAGTTGATGCATAATGAATTAAAGTTGATGTTGTGTGTAAGATTGAGTGATTGATATTATTTAATTATATTGATAATATTGATGATAATGGGTTGAGTTAAAAAAAAATGGTTGAGTTAAAAATGATTTGATTTTTAGGGCTGAAATTGTATCCAAGTATGCTCTAAAGATTTGTTTTTGAATAAATAGGGCCTCCGCTATAATTTCTCAGAAGTTGCTGCCGACAATTTTTTTTTTACTTCTTCGAGTGAGACCCACACAGAAAAATGAACTTATACACAAGCACGTATTGTACAGTAAATGACTAATTTTTTCTCGAGTCAAACTTATATGCAAGCAAGCTCTACGTTTTTCCCACACATCTTTAGCAGTCGTAAAGAACAACAAAGTTTGTCTTATGTCCTTTGAAACAGAGTTTAAGAGCCAGGATAGATGTTGTAGCAAATTATTTTATTTTTTTACCAAGTACCGAATCGAATGATTCGTTCCCCAGGTCGATCTCTCGAGGAAGACGGTTCGGAATTTAGCGTTGGTCTTGATCACACACGAAAAGAAAATAAGTCCTAAACACTCTAATCACGGTTGATTTGGGGAGTCAACTAAAACAAGCTAGAACTAGAAATACAATTTAAAGAAATAACAATTAAATATCTAGAGAAAATGAAGAAGTTCTAGGGGTCGGGAAATCTCATCAAGTCTTAAACTATGTCGCTTATTTGTTCGGTTACGAGATTAAACAAGCCTACACGTCTAGAGGGCTATTCTCAATAACTCTTCGTAACAAGAGCACAAACATAAACGATAAATTCATTCAAACAAGCAACACATAGACAATACTTTTACGAACATGTCTACTCTATACGAGCCTAAATCGACCGACGTCTCCCCTCTCGATTCTAAACGTCGATTAAATAGGTTAGAATGGTGATCAATCAACTAACCATATAATTCACACAACTCGTATAGATTGAACAAAACACATTCCTCATAATTCAAAACAAGAATCAAAATCCCTAACCCTAGGTGAATGGATTACATCATGCTTATATTCAATTTCATGTTAACCGGAATTAAGAACATAAAACCAATCAACAATAATAAAATAGAATTGAAAAACTTACAATCGGATTAAGGGTTGTAAGATTTCAATCTAAATATCTTTGTGTCCAACAATCCAAGCGTGAGAGAAAAAAAAAGAAAAGCGGAGAAATTTATCCTAACAATATTGAGTTTTTGGAGAGAAAAATTAAAAGGAACGATCTTGGGGGTTTTTTCCACGAGTCTAAGGATTGTTTTGATATATAGTGCGCGAAAAACGGAGCTAAAACGAGTAAAAACGAGCAAAAATAAAAACAGGGTCGGCTCGCGACCTCAACTCACGAGTTGCGACTTCGACACGAAACTGCTCCTTAAGCCTCAGTTTTTCTCGCGAGTCGCGACTTTCATCTCGCGAGTCGCGACTTTGGTCTCACGAGTCGCGACATTTCTCTCGCGAGTCGCGACTTTGGACTGCATTGCGCAATTTTACGTTTCGAGCTCGTTTGGCTGGTCCGAACTCGGAATTTAGTTCCGTTTTTTGCTATGCGTCACCAACAAACCCCTCTATTAGAATATGCGCTCAAAACAAACTTTTTCTGAAGAGAAAATTCTCCCAAAGCTCCCGACCTACACACCAAAAATGACAAAACACAAAAGAAAACCGAAAAAACAAACGAAAAACACCTAAAGACTCAAAATAAAGGAAAACACATAATAAAACACGAAACGGACTAAAAACTAAAGAAACGACCTAAAACGGGGGGAAAAGAAAGATAAAATAAACACGAAAAACGCAACAAGAATGGGACAAACAATAGAACTAGATTGTTTGCTCTAAGCCAAGCTATATATAACATATGGTTAGAAGTTATCGAAGGGGTCGAAGTTGTACCCTCAATGAAACCACCTTTGTTATTCACTCTGAGCGCCATGAGGATCGCACGCTACCAGGAAACATAATTCTCGCCGTTGAATGATTCAGCGACTATGAGTGTGACAGAGTTGTCGCTAGCGTGCAGGAAATAAGTAGAGACGCTAGCATGCAGGAAATAAGTAGAGGTGGGGTCATCGGTTGGATTCAAAGTAGTGGCCATTGGTTGATTTTACATCGTTGAGAGCAATAAATCGAAAATAGATCGAGGTTGATAGATCGAAAATCAACAAACAATAGATCAAAAATCGACAAACAATAAATCGATAGATATAAAAACAAAGAACAGTAGATTAGTTTTCGGAGGTTCAAAACCCTAAGAAAACAATTAGATTCTCAGAGGTGGAGAATCGATCGAAAAAGCAATAAAAACGAGAAAGAAATCAGGGTGTGGAAGCCGTGTACGGGGAATCGACGGCGACTGATATTATGTTAGATTACAGAGGCAATTGAAGAAGATGAAGAGAAGAATTCGAGAGAGAGAAGATGAAGAGAGGAATTCGAGAGAGAGAGAGAGAGAGAGATTGAAGAGGAAAAGGAAAAATGCTTTGTATTTCTTAATTTTGAGAGAATGAACAGTGTCTGTACAAGTGTTGTTAATGTGCTTTTATACTTAGGGTTACATGGAGACATAATGGTATTTTTACATAGTAAACCTATAGTTGCTATTGGTTTAATAGCAACTTTATAATATTTTCTATCCTAGATACTAATAGGAGCCTCAATCATCACAATGTGCGGCCCAATTTCAAGTTTTGGCACTTTTTAGGCACCCAATGTCTTGTCTGCAGTTGATTCATCACTCAAGTTACACCTTGTGACTACAATTTGGCTCTTGTGGCCACAACAAGATTGCAATGTTGATAGCTTGCTGGCTGGCTTTAGAAATTGCGAAATGGAAGTGAGATTGAGTATTTCTTTTTAACAAATATAATAAATTTTGTTCAACTTTATGTTTGGTGGATGAGTGAGGAAAATATATTATGTGCATGTGGTTCTCGGCTCTCTTAAAACAAAACATGGTTTATCATTTCTGATGTGGGCCACTTTTGTTCACAAAAGACTTCACAGGCTTTCGAATTTGGGACATTTTTCCATTTTGGGCCTCTTTTGTATTTTTTATTGGGCCCATTGGGGGGTTATTTTAGAGGAATTTGCACCCCTTACTATTAGATATGATTAACATTACACTTTTACTCCGATTATATTTTTAATTATAAAATGACTAAACAAAGCCATAAATATTACAATTATACCTAATTACAATTATACCTAATATAACTGTTATTAAGTAAATCAAGCATTCACACAATCTCCTCCTAAAAAACAAAGCCATGACTATTCACACCAACTCCTCTGAAAAAACATCTCGTCGTTTCCCCCTTGCTACAATGGCCAAGACAAAAATTTGGATCTCTCAAGATTATTAGATCGAGTGCGGGTTGAGGAGGAGATGGAGGAGCTGGTAGGCGTGGTGGTGGACGCGAACAGGCTGAGGAGGAGCGTCTTGGCTGACGTCATGAGCGCCACCACCGTGTACAAGGCGACGTTGTTCTTAGAGGCGGCGGCGGAGTTCTTGGTAGGGTTTTGTGATGCGAAATTGGTGAAAGAGTTTGAGGAGTGCGAGAAAGCTGTCAATTGATTTGGGGAAACAAGACAAATTCGGGGTTTCCTGATTATTAGGGCAAAATTTGTTTCTTAATTTTGGGATTTTTTTCTGAATGAGCGTAGTAGCAATGGGTTACAGATTAAAGATTGAGTCATATGTTGAATTAGCAATGTAATAGCAATGTTAATGAGGAACAATTGCATTTACTGCATATAATTGCAATGTACACGTTCTTTCAGGATTTGTTGCTTTTTTGGCTTTCATGGTTTTGCTAGATCAGGTTATGTTGGCGGTGTAAAATTGTTCATAAACTGATTTTTTATATTTTTTTTCGTGTATATGTATGGTTTATATTAAGTATATTTTCAGTATATGATAAAGAAATTTATGGCGAGAAAAAGCATAAATTGATTTTTTTGTTTTTTTTGTATATGTATGGTATATATTCAGTATATTTTCGATATATGATAAAAAAAAATTTTGCGAAACATAATTTTTATCTATAAAATTAGATTATATTTAGCATAAATTGATTTTTTTTGTTGTTGTTGTGTATATGGATGGTTTATATTAAGTAAATTGTTATAATATGTTTTTAAACTAAAAAAAAGAGGAAGATATAATTTTTTTTTATGTATATGTATGGTTTATATTTAGTATATTTTCGGTATATGATAAATAGTATATTTGAATTTTTTTTTTTGTTGAAAACGAATTTGACAAAGTATAAACTGATTTTTTTTATTTTTTTCTGTATATGTATGATTTATATTCAGTATATTTTCGGTATATGATTATGAAATTTATCGCGAGACATAACTTTTATGTATAAAATCAATTTATATTCAGCATAAACTGATTTTTTGTTGTTGTTTGTTGAGTATATCTATGGTTTATATTAAATAACATGTTATGATATGTTTATAAATTATATATATACTTTTGTGTATAAAGGTTAAAAAAAAAACAATAAGACATAATTTTTGATGGAAGACATGTTTTTTATTACAACATATAATGAATATATACCAACATAAACTCAACATTTTGCTGGACAACTGCGTTAATTACAAAACACGTTTTTATTTCTCTGAATATATACCAACATAAATCCAACATATACCCGCTGTCGCGATTATGAATTATTGTCGCGGTGACTCCGATCAATCCCCAAGCCTTTTTTTTTTTTAAGCTGTCGCGATTATGAATACTCTTGAAATTCAAATATATCTTTTCCATAAAAATTGGTCTGATATGAATTTGAAATGAAGAAATACGATTCTGGACATTCATGTGCTGCAGATTCAATAGCTGGTGCAAGTCAAAATTCAGTGCCGCAATAAGCTAGTGCGCAGGAAAGAGGCGATTAGAAGACTTCCTGACTACCTGACCTTCGTGCAATTCAAGGAATGGAATCCGGGAAAAGTTGTTAAGTTCTTTTTTTAACTCATTTTAGCCCTTATCATGCTATTCCGCCTTTTTTGTATTCATATAAAATCTTGTTTTTTGTTTTTTTTTTCCTGGTAACGATGGCGGAAATCACGCCACCAAATGATAATTGATATGGATCGAGGACGTTACAAAGATAACTAATATTTAGACAATCGCGTAAATAAAATAGCTTGATTAGGTATATATCCTATTACTTATTATAGGAAGGTAAAATTGAAAATTCTTTTATTTCGTATAGTATGTGTCAAGATTTCCCGTTATTTTACAGGGGGTTTTAGGTACATACATAAATAGTTTGTTTTGTTTGGTGACACTAGTGTGTACCCCGTGCTATGCACGGATAAATAATATTAATAATAATTATAAATTAAAGATGAGGATAAATAATATTAACTATAATTATAAATTAAAGATGTGAGCAATGTTTTAAATATTGTACCGTACCGACCGGAATTACCGGTGGTCCAAACGGTATTACCGGATACCAGTGGTCCGACCGGTACAATTACATTCAAGATATCGTTTTGGCCAAAATACCCGTTTATACCGGTTTCATATCGCAAAATATCGGTTTTACCGGCAAATACCGGTCAAAATACTGGTATATGCCAATTATTTTTAAAAAAATATATTTTTTAATATATTTTCATTAATCTATTTATATAAATTGAAAGTTCTACACTTAATTTCAAAAAGTTTACATTGTTATTAAATGTTAATTAATTTTATTAATTAAAGTTAGTTTTGTACATTATTTATATTATAGTAACAAATTGATTTAATATTTATTGAAACCGATAAAATAGATGGAACCGCGTACTGTTGGCTCGTCTAGTATGATTACCAGTAAGGTATTTAAAACACTGGATGTGAGGTTATATGTGATAAAATAGTCTATTGTAACATTATAAAATTTATCTTGTATAAAAGAACATAAAAAATGTGTGTTTAAAATATTAAATGTGAGAGAAGATTTACATATTATATATAAATTAAATCTTGAGATGATACCGAAAATTGTTATGTAATCTCTGTGTGAAAATTTGAGTATAAAATAAACGGAGGCTTAACAATTCCACGCTTTATGCATACGCTTCATTTATCAATTTTATATAATGATTTTAAAATCTCGTTATTAAGATTTTTAGTCAAACGCATATCAACAAAGTCTACATTCTTAGGGTTTATGATGAAATATGAATAAATGATTTTTTTATAAAAGAAATCCGTATTTATTTATTTTTGAAAATCAATGAAAACTTATACAGAGTTTTTATTCTTAACAAACTCCTACCATTCTAATTAAGTTATATTATTCCAGTTTGAACTTCATTATGATTTTAAAATCCGTACACGTGGTCATAATCTATATCAAGTAAACAATCTCCATATTTTTAGAAATCAGTATTTATCTGTTTTTGAATATCAATGCAAACTGCTTTAATCACTTTTTAATATTAATTTAATTAAATAAAAAAATGAGGCAAATTTGTACCAAATTTTAAATTCTCGTGCTCTATTGCGACAACAGTTTTTCAATATCAAATTAATTAAATGAAGTTATTTTTTAATAAAATTCAGTTCAGTTTTTTTTACTAAAATGAACGATGCATGCTCGTACCAATTTCCAATTCTCCACAATTTGAATAAGGGCTCCTTAACTTTTGAATAATGCTAAATTTCGTGTCTATCATTATGTTTGCGGGAAAATTTGAAATTTGTATGAAAGTTATTAGAAAATTGTTAACATTTGAATTTGAATTAAAGATTTGTATGAAAATTATTAGGAAATTGTTAACAATTGAATTTGAATTAAAGATTTGTTTTTTCTGTTTTTCCTAAGTTTGTTAAGGAAAGCAACCATATTTTATTTAAATTTCTATTCCTTCCTTATTTAGAAATTTAGAAATTTGTTTTGCTTGCTATATTTAGTAAATAGTTATTCTTTTTTATATAAGTATAGATAGATTATAATTTTCTCTGTTTGCAAGCCGTATAGTATGTATAAAAATTTCCCGTTATTTTATAGGGGGTTTTAGGTACATACATAAATAGTTTGTTTTGTTTGGTGACACTAGTACGTACCCCGTGCGATGCACGGGACAGACATATTAAATTAGTTATTTTCACTGGCTTTGTCCGTTTAATTATATAAAGCAATAGGGTTATCATCTATTTTTCACATCTTTTAATCAGCGTTAAGTGTAATAAACAATAATGTTATAATCTATTTTGCACCTCTTTTGATCAGCGTGGTTTTTTTAGTTAAAACATTAAATATGAGCATGTTAGGGCTAGCTTGTAAAAATAATTAATATATTATCTCACTAACACATTATACTAATATAAATTTAATTTTAGTATATAGATTTATTCCAAGAGAGAACAACAATTTTACTTATTCTTATTCACCATATAATACTTAATTATTATTTTATTATAAACTTTGTTGTCATATAATGTCATTATTATTTATTATTTATAAAGTTATAGAAGTTGTACGTCCTCTTTTTCTTTTTATTTTATGTAATGAAAAATATTTAATGCACGTTAGTATTATTTAATAATGTAATCAATTTAATATATGTAAATAAATTTAAAATTAAATAGTGTGTAAATATTTTATAGAATATACACATGTTTTTTTAGAATTTAATTTTATATACTAATTAAACAACTTTGATTTAGAAAATACCAAAAACTCAATCCCTTCTATGATCAAGAATTTTCTAATGTTCATTATAAGGATTTATAGTTTATTTAGCATACTCTGCAATGAAAATTTATTTTACAAGAATTTAATTATAGAAATAAATCAAAATAAAAAATGAAAAAGAATAATCATGGGTGTCAATAATATTCAAATAAATTTTAAAAAATAGTTAATATATTTCAATTTTAATTTTTTACCATTAATAAAACTATTTAATGTATATGGTCATTATCTCTTAAATGGTAAATTATATTAATTTGAAGAACAATTTATTTTTTTAGATTTAATAAAATAAAGCTTAAGAATAAATATATTGACAAAAATTAATTCACCAGCTTCATTTTGTCTGATTACTTGGAAAAAAAATTCTACCTAACATGTTACGATTTTTCATAAATATTTTTGGGTAAAAAATGAGTATTTGTGAAAAAAAATTATAATATGGTTAGAACTTAAAATATGATGTAATATTTATCTTGACCAAAGTATTATCAACATAGATCATGGAAATCAATCTTGTAATTTATTACAACTAATATCAATGAAAGTATTACAAATATTAACAAATTAATATTTATCTTGACCAAAATATTATCAACATGAATCACGGAAAATCAATCTTATAATTTATTATAATAAATATCAATGAAAGTATTGCAGATATTAATAAATTTATTTAATTAATTTTTTGATCATATCTTATTTGAAAACGTGTATATGGAAGCAATTAATGTATATATTTAAAAAGTTTCTAAAAATAGTATGCATTTAATGTTTCCAAAATTTTTAGCTACTATTTTTAGTAAATGGTAATTCTTATTATATATATACTAGTGTGTACCCCGTGCGATGCACGGGAACAATATTAAATTAACAATATTATAAATAGACCTCGAGTTTGAGTCAATGGCGGAAGTGAAAATTACTATTGATCGTATTTAAAAAGAGGAAGAAAAAAAAAATAATTATAAATAAAAGAGGAGGATAAACAATACTTAATAATTATAAATTAAAGATTCGGGGTCAAATAATGTAAAATGATTTTGTATAAGAGAATATAAAAAAAATTGATTACACACCATTTCAAAATTATTATTATTATTATACTTTTTTGTATGGTTAACTTAGAATATTTGTAAAAATAATAGTAATTAGACCCGATGAAAATTAGCTTCTTAAAGTAGATAATGGATTTTCGTAGTAATTATGAATTAGTTTCTATTTTATTTTATTTTTTCTTTTTAAAGATAATGAATTTCTAGTAGTAATTATGAATTGATTTCTATTTTATTTTATTTTTTCAAATCTGTATAGATAAGAGATGAGATTTTTTAAACACCTAAGATCGTATGAAATGAGATTTTGTAACATAAGAGATAAGCTCGTGTAGATTTATACTAAAAATAGAAAAAAGAAAAACAAATATTTATTATTAAAACGATAAACTAAGAAACAGGAAAAAGAGAAACAAATCTTTACACAATTAATGAGCAGATTTTTTTGTCTATTCAGATTTGTCCAACAATTACTATATATAGGATATATTTAATGATTTTGGCGGGAAAAAGTTTCTAAATTTGTAAAAAGGTTATTCTTTTTATATAATGATAGATATAGATAGATATAGATATAGATATAGATATAGATATAGATTATAATTTTCTCTGTTTGCAAGCCGGGCCAGATGGGCCGCGGGTCAGCCCGTCATTTAAAACAAACGATTATAAAATCACAAATGCATACACGACTTCTCTACTTCTGCAGCGTAGTCACGCTTTTCCTTTCGATTTCACAAAATCTTTGGGCAGACGGGCTCTAAGGACCTAAACCCTATAATCTCTCAACTCTCAAGCGACGGTGTGCAGCGACCTTGGAGTGGCGAGCCAGCGATACAGAGAGTGACTCCGAGCGGCAACGGTGAGGCAGCTTCCATTACGGTAATAATGGCTGAACCTGACGTCTTATTGATTAATTTTGGTTTATAATTTCTGATAGTTTGATTTTGAACTCTCAATTTAATGGTTGGTGGACTTGTTGATGCTTGATGAATGTTTGGATGTGTATTGCGTATGTTACAAATTGCTCCCAGTTTGTGCCCACAATTTTACCATTTTTTTTCCCTCCCAGTTTTTGCTGCTTGTGCCCAGTTTTTATTTTGCTCCCAGTTTCATTTTTTTTTCTCTTTTTTTTCTTTATATGCGGCGGGCAGGCCCGACTAGCCCGCGGCGGGGTTGGGCCGGGCTGCTCTTTCACAGGGACGTCAGATGGCAGGCCGGCCCGCCCTCGCCAAACGGTGGGTTTTGGCTGGCTTCGGCCAGCCCACTCTGCCGGCCCGTTTTGACATGTCTAGTTTTAGGTTTATTTTGAACTGAACACGCTTTTGATTGGCTTCTCATTGACAACAGCGATTGACGACGAAGCCAGCAACCACCACTGTGCGCCGCCGTCCATCACGTTTGAGCCGCTCGAGTCGCCGTTACCCTCTGCCTATTCACCGTGAGTCTTAATTTACATTTTTTCTTTCTATCCATGAAGTCAAATTGGCTGGAAAATGCACATTTCTGCCATTTTTCTCATATATTCTCTTTTGCTTNTCTTTTCTTTTAATTTTTTTCGAGTTAAATTGGTGATAATTGTGATATTCAGAGGTCTTACAAGGGAGAGAGGCGGTAAACTTACTTCGTTTGCATGTTTCCAGCTGAAACATATGCATAACTTCTATTAGAATTTTGAAGTTGCGAGCACCTATTGATTAGGGTTTTTGTAATAGAGTACCATGATATTACGTGATTGACGCTTAATGCTGAATAGATGATATTTGTGTAGAAAAGTTTGCCGTAAAAGTCTAGAAAGGACAATTGGGATTGCCCAGTAATATCTACTTCAAACGAAGCTTTATTTTGGCGTTATTTACTCAATTAAGTATGTGATTAATCCCATGAACCAATACCTTAGTATTAACGTTGTGAGTATATCCACTTTATCTGTCTCTCCTATGTAGGTTGTGAAAGAACACCGGAAATAGTCAAGAGTTTTGGTAAATAAAGAACAATGACTAAGGCAAAGGAGGCTTTGCTTCCATCAATGATAAAGAATAAGGCGAAGAGATCTGAAGTCCATGCCAAGCTAAAGAACCAAAAGAAATTGGAGAAGAGGAAGAAGGCAAAGGCCCGTGAAGCTGCCGAGAAACGGGCGCTGGAGCTAGGGGAGGAGCCTCCGGCCAAGAAAACACCCCACACAATCGAGAACACTCGTGAAGTCGACGAGACTGTGTGCATGCCTGATGATGAAGAGCTATTTGCCGGCAATGATGCAGATGAGTTCAGCCCTATATTGAATCAGGAAATCATCCCTAAGGTCTTGATCACTACAGCCCGCTTCAATTCCACAGTATGTTTTCTTGTCTGAGTCACTCAAAATGAGATTTTTTTTTTCCAAATAATACTTCATTTGCTCTCTCTCTCTCTCTCTCTCTCTCTCTCCCCCTGTTTATGATGATTTTTCCAATGGACTACAGAGAGGTCCTGCTTTTATTCAAGATATTCTCTCGATCATCCCCAATGCGCATTACTACAAGAGGGGAACCTATGACCTCAAAAAGGTTTGCCATACTTTCTTTTCACGCATACTTTCTGTAGTATTAGAATTCATATATGAAGTTTATCCTCAGGAGAGTGTTTAATTCATTATACCTTCATTCGTCATGCAGATTGTAGAGTATGCAAAACATAAAGACTTCACGTCGGTCATAGTTGTCCATACCAACCGTCGGGAACCAGGTCAGTCCATGATACGATGCTAACCTGCAAATATAGGTAAAAAAACATATGCTCTTCAGGAATAACGCAAATGAGATAGGCATATCTTCTTTTTATATATATGTAATGTAACGTAATGTAATGTTTTTTCTTTTTAGTCTAAAAAAATATTTAATGTATTCTTGTTGAATAAGTCAACCAGATATAAAGAGTTTTCTAAACCTTAATCATAAAAATCAACCGGGCGTATGATTTGATATTTTGATTAAATTTGGATGATGAGTGTAGGTACTGGTGGTAGAGGAAAGATTATGGCATGTTACATGTGATGACCCATGCTACAAATTCTGTATTTTTTATTTTTATTTTCTTATTTTTTATAACTCTCGTCTGCAGATGCTCTTTTAGTTATTGGGTTGCCCAATGGCCCTACTGCTCATTTCAAACTTTCTCGGCTTGTTCTGCGGAAGGACATTAAGGTAAATTTTCTCATTTGGCTACTCACTGTTCTCTCTATTATAGTGCAGTCGCGAGGAAAGCGTGTTGATTGTTCTTTTATTTAATCTTGTGAGGTTCTACTGAATGTTGAGTTTTACCTTGATTCTATAAAACGACATGTGTTTTCAACTGGATTAACCCATTTCGTTTCTAATGACCTCACAGAATCATGGAAATCCGACCAATCATCAGCCTGAATTAATTTTAAATAACTTCACCACACGGTTGGGACATCGTGTTGGCAGGTATTATGAAATCCGTTCTTACTCGGTTTGTTTTATGATAGATAAAAGAAGTGGGTAAATCATACTGTGTATGACTTTTTGCGACTTTCTAAAGTTTTCTTATAGCTTTCCCTTTTGACTTTCTCGATACCAGGAGTCCTTGCTTTTTCTTGTTGCACAGGTCCCTGTTTAGAAGGGCCTCCTCTGGATCCTAGTTTCTCACAGTATCAGTTTATGATGTGATAATTCAATGATAATAAAATGTTGAACTAATACCAGTAAAGTGATAGCAATGTGAGATTTTTACACCTGCTAGCTGTTTGGGGATTTCTGAATAGCCTAAGTCAGCGTCTCATTTTGTGCCTATGTATTTGTGCTTAGAACATAAACCAATAAAACTAATTAATTTTTTACTTAATTTAGGCTAATACAATCACTGTTCCCACAAGACCCTAATTTCCGTGGTCGGCGTGTTGTTACCTTTCACAATCAACGTGATTTCATATTTTTCCGCCACCACAGGTATGCACTCTTTCTCTATGCATTCTGCTCATTTTTTTGGCTGAAATTTTGACCTGAATCCCTCATTGTTCTTATTATTTGCTTCTGAAAGGTACATTTTTGAGACAAAGGAAAGCAAAGAGCCCGAAGCAAAAGGTAAAGGCAAATCCGACAAGGTAGCTAAACCTCAAGAAAAAGTTATTGCCCGTCTTCAGGTTCGTAACCTTCTTGCATACATTAATTTGTATTCGCTTGTTGCTTTTGGTTTGTACAAGACCTTTTAAGCTTTCTTAAGGTTTGAAAATAAACAATTGTTGTAAGTTATGTGGGAGCATAACAGTGTTTAAATTTGCAGGAATGTGGCCCTCGCTTTACGCTGAAGTTAATTAGTCTTCAGCATGGAACTTTTGATACAAAAGGAGGTGAATATGAATGGGTGCACAAGGTAATCTTTCAATCAGTGGCAAATTACCAAAAATGTTACCCTCTCAGATTTTGTTTAATTTTAGGAATCTCTAACTAGCTATGTTACAAAATTACAAATTCTTCGGAATTGCCTCTTTTCTAGTAAGTCTTGATCAATTTGTTTTGTGTCAACTATTGAGGTTGAACCCATTGTAGGATGTTTTTGTAACTAGTCCTTTTATATTTTTGTAACTACATGGGATTGGGACACACGAGTATTTATATCTTGATACGAGTTGCTCATATTTGGCATTTCTTTAAATTGCAGCCTGAAATGGATACCAGTCGCAGGAGATTTTTCTTATGATTGAACGTCAGCTGCGAAAGAGATGAGAACAAATTTCTAAATTTTGTTTTGGCATATTTCTTATTTACATCTGAGTGTATTCGAGTATGCGACAGCATGTAAGAATACACCTTTATCACTTTATGTAGTGTAGTGTACGACAACTTATTGTGAGATTTGACAACTTACTGTGTGATTGGACGATTTTTGCTGCCCTCTATATATGGCTTGTTTTATCCCCTCTTGGTATAATCCAACTTTAGATTTTTTTACCCAACATCCATGGCCTTGTCAATCAGGAAGGGCCATTTTTTTTAATACCTTACCAAAAAAAATGTATACTATGTCTAGAGGTATTATATGAAACGAGAAGCCTGAGACCTCGAGTTGGCTCGGCTCATGAATACTCAAATTTGATTTGTTAAAGGCTCATGAATACTCAAATTTGATTCGTTAAAGTTTAATAAACAAGTCGAATTCAAGTTCTATGTGCAACTTGTTTAGTTCATAAGCTTGGCTTGTTAAGGCTTGAAAAATAAGAAATTCTATGTAATTTTTCGATTTCTAGCATAACTCGACTTGTTGAAGTTCGAGTTCTACTTGGCATTTTCCGTTAAATGAGCCGAGTTCAAATTCTATGAAAGGCTTGTTTAGGTCATCACTGAATTTGAGTATCAAGAGTTAAATGAGAGAGTTCAAATTCTATGAAAGGCTTGTTTAGGTCAGTATCAAGAGTTTGAGGTTACGTTCAATCCATTTGCTAATACAACAACATATCCTTTTGAAATATGTGAAATAAAACATATCTATATCTATATCTATATATATATATATATATAAAAGAATAATCATTTACTAAAAATAGTAGCAAAAAATTTTAGAAGCATTTAATGCATACCTGTTTGGAAACTTTTTAAATATATGTATTAATTACTTTCATATACACGTTTTCAAATAAGATCAAAAATTCAAATCAGATATGATCAAAAATATTATTTCCTTAAATAATTTTATTAATATCTGCAACAATTTCATTGATAGCGATTATAATAAATTATAAGATTGATTTTTCCTGATTCATGTTGATAATATTTTGGTCAAGATAAATATTACAACATATTTTATGTTCTAAATATAATATCATTTTTTTCACAAATATTCACTTTTTATCCAAAATATTTATAGAAATCGTAAGAGGTTAGGTAGAATTTTTTCTTCCAAGTAATTAGGCGAAATCAAGTTGGTGAATTAATCTTTGCCCATATAATTTTTTCTTAAGTTTTATTTCGTTATATATAAAAAATAAATTATTCTTCATATTAATATAATTTACATCTGAAGAGATAATGACCGGATACAAACTAATGGTAAAAAATTAAAATTGAAATATATTAACTGTTCGTTAGAATTTTATTTATATATTATTGGCAACCATAATTTATTTTTTTATCATTTTTTTTTTTATTTTTATTTCTTTCTATAATGAAATACTTGTAAAATATATTTTCATTGCAGAGTATGCTAAATAAACTATAAATCCTTATAATGCAAATTAGAAAAATCTTGATTATATAAGAGATTGAGTTTTTGGCGTTTGCTAAATCAAAGTTGGTTAGTTAATATACAAAATTAAATTCTAAAACAACATGTGTGTATATTTTGTAAAATATTTATACACTATTTAATTTTAAATTTTTTTGCATATTTTAAATTGATTAAATAAATAAATAATACTAACGTGCATTAAATATTTTTCATTATATAAAATAAAAAGAAAAAGAAGACGTACAACTTCTATAACTCTTATAAATAATAATGATATTATATGATAAGTGATAACAAAGTTTATAATAAAATAGTAATTAAGTATTATATGGTGAACAAGAATAAGTAAAACTATTATTTTCTATTTATATCAAGGAATAAACATATATACTAAAATTAAATTTATATTAGTATAAATGTGTTAGTGATAATATATTACTTACTTTGTAAGTTAGTCCTAACATGCTTATATTTAATGTTTTGGCTAAAAACATAACGCTGATTAAAGGAGGGGAAAAGATTATAACCTTATTGTTTTTTAAGACTTAACGCTGATTAAAAGAGATGAAAAATAGATGATAACCTTATTGCCTTTTAGACTTAAACGGACAAAGCCTATGAAAGTAACTCATTTAATATATATGTCCCGTGCATCGCACGGGCTACGTAATAGATTATGCTATGAGAATATAATGGTTAATATAAAGTTTGACATTATATACACATCACAACATAATGTGATTTTACACATTACATAAACTTTATAATAAATGCACTTACACATTTTATTTCATCTATTATATCATAAAGTTATGTTGAAGTAGCTTTGTCCACGTATGATTGATGTAATGTAATTCTCTCATACGTATATGATAGAGGCATATCCAAAAGAATATTTTTCATTTATATTTGTTCATCACAAGGAAATTATCAATCTTCTTTCTTGTAATAGAGTTTTCAAATTGCAGCTTAATGTGTTAGATGTAGACATAGCATTGTTGGCTAGCTCGTTTTCTTCATGTGTTTTCTCGTCTAGTTGTTCTTGTGTATTGTGAGTTTTGTACCTTGTTGTTTCTTGTGTTGTGAAGAAGGGTGTGATCATCCAACCGTGTTGATCATAAGCTAGTGTACTAGGACTAGGGGTGTTCATCGGTCGGTTCGGTCGACCGAACCGACCGAACCACTAAAACCGAACTAACCGACTCGCAATTTTTCAGGAATCGAACCGACCGAATGTGGAACTAAAACTGATTTTTAACCGAATCGAAATTTTTGGTCGGTTCAGTCTATTAACCGAACTTTTACATCAATTCAAAATTTATAATAACATTTCAAATGGGGAAGATGGAAGGTTACTTTCCAATTTCTTTAGGGTAAATATTTATATTACAATATTATATATTTTTATATTATAACATATATAACCAGTTTTACTTGCTAAGCATGGTGGTAGATTCGTATAGATAATACTGCTAGTTTTTGTATATTGGTTTATATTCATCAAATCCTCCTGTTTTATTGCTTGAAGCTGATTTAGATTAATCAATGGAGTTAAGCAGGGGCGGATCCAGAATTTTTTNGAATGTAACTCGAATTCCGTGAAAACTCGAGCAACCAATTAAATTTGTTTATTAAATGAATTGAGCTCAAGCTCACATTTTTTTTTTCGTTTATATAATGAGTCAAGACAGCCAACACATTTATTAAACAAACACGAACTTGATCATGAAGTATTCAACTCGACTCCAAAAACACCTAGAAGAAATATACTGTATTTAATAATATCACATTTTCAATACATATAAGGCATAAAATTGAAGTTTTTGATATTTTAATTTTGTACATTATTTCAAACCACGAGACTTATCAACAATTGACTTTATACTAATAAATCTTGCAATGCCTTTTCAACTCTCTATTTAAAATATTTCATTTTTGTTAAAAAACCGAAAAGATAAAGAACATAATATAGAAATTGGATATGAATTATACTCAGTATTTCTTTCTTCTTCTGAATGTGTATTTTCCATTGCATTTCGGATGCCTTTTATAGGCAAACTTTCCCGACATAACATTCAATAATTTATACAACATTCATATCTTATTACTATTCCCATTTCTTCAAATAGTGAAATGTCACTATTCATGCGTAGTGGTTTATTCTACTTGTACATATTATAACACTCCCCCTTGGAATAACCACTATGCAATGTGCGTTTATGCTGCCTCATTAAAAACCTTATTCGGAAAAACCCTGTGGGAAAAAAAAACCGAGATAAGGAAAAAAGAGTACAGCCGCACATGCTCCCCCTCGAGTTATCATCCGTGTAAATCTCGAAGATGTCTCATTCTAATGTTATGGACGTGCTTTCGAAATGTTGTAGTTGGGAGCGCCTTCGTAAATAAGTCTGCTGCATTATCACATGATCGGATGTATTGAATCTTGATCTGTTTGTTCCTTTCAAGCTCTTGAGTGTATGAGAAGAACTTTGGTGGAATATGTTTAGTTCTGTCACTCTTGACGTATCCTTCTTTGGTCTGAGCGACACATGCTGCATTATCTTCGAATATGACCGTCGGATCTTTATTATTTGATAATCCACTGGCTTGTTGAATGTGTTGAGTCATATTTCTGAGCCAGATGTTCTCTCTAGTTGCTTCATGCAGTGCAATGATTTCAGCATTGTTTGAAGATGTAGCAACTAGTGTTTGTTTCTGAGAACGCCAGGAAAATGCAGTTCCACCAATAGTGAAAACGTAGCCAGTCTGAGATCTCGCCTTATGTGGGTCTGATAAATATCCTGCATCTGCAAAACCGATCATTTCATGTTTTTTTATCATTTGAGTAAAATAATCCCAGATCGATTGTTCCTTGGAGATAACGGAATATATGCTTGATTCCATTCCAGTGTCTCCTTGTAGGTGACGAGTTATATCTTGCTAACAAGTTGGTAGCAAAAGATATATCTGGTCTGGTGCAATTAGCAAGATACATAAGAGCCTCTATTGCACTCATATATGGTACCTCAGGACCAAGTATTTCTTCATTTTCTTCACAAGGTCGAAATGGATCCTTTTCAACATCCAATGTTCGGTTAACCATAGGAGTACTAAGGGGATTAGCTTTGTCCATATTAAATCGTTTCAGTACTCTTTTAGTATAGTTAGATTGATGGATGAATATCCCTATTTGTACTCTCTCTATCTGTAAGCCAAGGCAATATTTAGTTTTTCTGAGATCTTTCATTTCAAATTCGCCTTTCAGAAAAGTAACTGCTTCTCGAATTTCATTTGCTGTCCCAATAATATTAAGATCATCAACATAAACAGCAATTATCACAACTCCATCTTGTGATTTCTTTATGAAAACACACGGACATATTTGATCATTCAAGTATCCCCTTTTTAGTAATTGTTCACTCAAACAATTATACCACATACGCCCGGATTGTTTTAAGCCATACAATGATCTTTGCAACTTTAACGCACATAACTACTTAGGTTTTGAGTTCAGTGCTTCGGGCATTCTGATTCCTTCTGGGACTTTCATGTATATGTCGGTGTCTAATGATCCATACAAGTAAGCAGTCACAACATCCATGAGACGCATCTCAAGATTTTCATGGGTAGCTAAACTCATCAAGTATCTGAAAGTAATTGCATCCATGACAGGGGAATATGTTTCATCATAATCGATCCCAGGCCTTTGGGAGAATCCCTGTGCAACAAGGCGAGCTTTATATCTCGTGATCTCATTATTCTCATTTCTTTTTCTGGTGAAAACCCATTTGTATCCAATGGGTTTTATGCCTTTTGGTATAATGGAAATAGGCCAAAAAACTTTTCGTTTATTTAGTTAATCTAACTCGGCTTGAATGGCGC